TTTCACAAAACACTGAACAGATTATTTATTACTAAATTATCAAATTTATTGCCAAAAAATTACCAAAAATTCGAAATAAATATAAAAAAATTATTAAAAAAAATCAAAAACTTCAAAACTAATCAACTTCAAACATTTAAACATGTTTCTAATACCGTATATAGGAAGGAATTGAGGTTTTCTCACACCAAATGCCACCAATCAACACCTCAAGCACATAAAAAACGCAAAATCAATAATGCAAGCCAACCACAATGCAAAACTAACAAATCTATTTGAAATACAACAAATTTTTATGGTCAAAACATCCAAGAAATCAAGAAAAATTGAAAATATTGAAAGAAGAGGATACTTACTCAGTAGAGACGATTCAAAGGCGCGAAGGTAGGCGTTCAAACGGCGGTGGATGGTGTTACACCTTACTACTAGAATAACTTAGAGTTCAATTAAAACCATTTTAGATCATATTGGATGGTCTTGAGCTCAAAAATCTCACTTAGGACATTGAGGACGCTACTTTTTGGATTTTTATTGTTCAATTGGTAAAATCCAGTTTTCTGGTACAATTTCAAAAAATCATAACTTAATCTAAGAAAATCAAAATGGAGTGATTCAAAATTATATGAAAAGCGCTTTGAAAGCTATTTCAAGAAAAAATAATCTTATGAACCAATTCTGTTTGAGAAAGTGCCAGATTTTTGTGGAAGTCACTACTGTCATTTCGGTAAAACTCTTTTTTTTTTTTTACAGATTTTGGATTTAACTTTGAAAAATCATTAAGAATCGCACAGTAGTCTATTTTTAACGTGCTACCTATCAAATTGAAGCTCGAGACGTGATCTCTAAGCATGCCAAATTTCACGATTAAATTTGTTTAGGAACTCAACCAAAATACTACTCCAATTGACGGCTTCCTTAGGGTTATAGTACCAATCATGCATACTTATACATAACCAAAATAGAATCGTTTTCTCATGGTCCACCACCACAATTACTCTTGAATTTGCATCTTTCATTTGAATGATTCAGGCCCTAAAATGTTGGATTATTTTGAAAGGGTGAGATTTCAATGAAATCCCAGTAACAAGAATAATTAACCACATATAAATATGCATTAATTACAAGCATTCTAACTTTTTACTATTAATAGGAAACTATTTTACCTCATACATGTAGCACTCTAACATGCAATAGCCAAGGCACTTAAAGCAAGGAGTATAGCTATACAATCATCATCATCATCATTTAGCTCAATCACATAATAACACAAGAAATTGCATAGCAATCAATGCAACACTTAACATTAAAGTTAATTAATTCTTACTACCTTGATTCAAATGCTCTTTGATTCTTTGACCTTCTTCCTCTCCTTCACAATTAACAAACCCTAATATCACAAACCATGAAAGGGGCAGCAACATTACCAGCAAACCCATATCAAAAATCAATAACAAAACTCAATTAAACCCTTACTCTTTAAAGCTTTAACCTTTGCTCTTTAATTTTTGAGCTTTGTTTTCTTAAGCCTTAAAAATTCTTTCTTAGTTCATTCCTAGATGATTTTTTATACAGAATATGTACTTGAATTTAAGGAAAGAAAATTCCTTCTTCCAGTTTCAGCTTGGCTGAACCAAAAGGGTTCATTATCCAAAAATTACAACTTGGATTCTAATACTTCCAACTCATGTTCTTTATGTTTGTCATACACTATTTTCCATTTTAAACACAATAGAAGCCTCAAAACATTGAAAAACTCATCCTTGGGTATAATTTTCAAAGTGACCGAATGGTTCCTCTTGAGAACAACAATGAAATCTTTTTAAAAGTAACATACAACCACTTGATATCATCATGAAACAAGATGTTCTAACCATGTCTAGCAACCAAAACTTCCCTCCCTACACATTCATCATTTCGACAAGCATAATAAAAGGGAAGAACCAGAAATTTCAACCATGCAACTCAAGAGAATCAAGCAAGGGACAACATAGAATCATTTACTAACCTTAACTCTAAGCTTACTTGATCCAAGTTAGTTGCTTTTCCCTTGAATACACTTGAAACTCTTCCTTGCTGACTAACTTCCTCTCTTGGCTGAAACAATAGTATGAAATTAAACTCTTCTTTGATGCTCAAAATATCCTAACAACCAACAATTAATGCTATGCCAAGTGTCAACTCCTTAATTAGTCTTGAATCTCTCTCATAATTAATTTAAATCCAAAAGTAATTAATTTCTAAAGTCAAAATCCTCTCCACTTAAATCTTGACACTTGGAAACTTTAATTACTATCCATTAAGGGCTTGACAAATGACAAATTATGGGCCAAGTAAAGTGCAAAACTTTAGTCTCTACTTTATCGGTGCACTTTTACTCCGAGTTTAACTTCTTTTCTATAATTACAATACTCTGGCCTCTATAATTATTTTTTGTCAGATCCATAATTTATTCTCCTCATTTTTGTCTTCTCAAAATACCCCCTTTGTCTCAATCTTGAATTCCCTTTAATTAAATAAAAAGAAAAAACCAGTTTTCCCTTTTTATTGAGACTTCTCTACTTGTCATGGGAATTATGGAATATCTTGGATATTTGAGGAACTCTTTTTAATCCCAATATCTCCTATAATTCCTTGGGACATCATAGGAATTTTTCTTGAAATTTTATTCTCCTTCCAAATATTTATTTGTAATTTTCCAAATAAAAGGCCTCAAATTAGCCTAAATCACCCTTAAATTCCTTTGAAATTTTTTTCCAAGGGTAATTTGATCATAAAACCAATTATATAACCTCATATAATTCTCAAGGAATATTATCATTATTTTTTCTTAATTTTCTGAGGTTTGCAAATATTTTTTCATAATTATTCCTGACCAATTTTTCTTAATTAGTCAAAATTTTCATAATTGACTTGGAAAATCATATTAATTATTTTCTACCAAAATTCCTCTATTTCTCCTTATCATTTTTGGCCCTTGAATATTTAGGAATATCTTTATTCCTAATTACCATTTACTGGATGTGACAGACGGCGACAAGACACCACAATCTAAATAGAAGAGTTTAAATAGTGGGACAAGTTGGGGAATGGCCGGTAATGGAAGTTCGTTGGTGGTTGGACAAAGGGAGACCACAATGCACTGATATGAAACTGTGAAAATGAGTAAAACTGAACCCTATCGTGGCTTATTTTAAAACTTTCCACGACGGTTTTCTTAATAACTGCTGTGAAAACTTAATCGTCAGGCCACTTATTTACAAAAATGCCACCGTCTTTTTTTCATGGTGTTTTTTTTTCTTAACCACCATTATTTTGTGACGTTAAATGTCTTTTTCCTAGTAGGGTTGATCTTTATATTATGAAGTTCTTGAATGTATCATTTGAAAAGATCAAGTTTATGAGCCTTGAGTTAAATTAGTTTGAGTCAGCAACTATGTAGCTCGAGTTGAGTAGCACTTCATCAATTAGTTCATATACCTTGAGTCGGTAGTCATCAACTAGAAGTTGACCATGAGCTTCAATGTATTATTCATTGAATTTCATATTGCGTCATCTTCCTTACTTGAGATATGTCATTTAGAGTCTTCATTATATATTTATCTCAAGTTTTGTCCCTCTAATTCTGTGAATTTTAGATGTTCATTTAATATTTAACCTGTGTCAAGAACACTTGACTAGAATCAGCCGTGTTCAAGTCAATTTATCCTCATAAGATATAAGATATGTGAGCTTTTTAAATCCAATGTTTTGAGCTCAACTTGCAATATCATAACTCTTGCTATACTTGAATATCCCATTTGTATGTGTGCACTTGATTAATTTCATTATCCAACTCGAGTCAAATTGTAGTCAACTTAAATCCCAACATGCCTTGATATAGAACAACACTTCGTAAAATTTGATCTCATCTAAGGTTGCCTGAAACCTTCTTCTCTAATATGTGTCTAAGCTTCAGGCATATATTTAGACATTTTAAAACATACTTTGCTGGTATATAAGCAATATAGTCCTCCGTTCCTAAATATAAGATTCATTTTGTAATATAATTTTTCGTATAAAATGAGTCTTATATTTAGAACCTATAGAATTAAATTAGTTGGTAGCACACATCACCCATTACAATTGTAATTCTTTCTTTTTTCATTTTCTTTATCGGTTGTTTTTTTTTACTGAGTTCATTTTTATTCCTAGAAATAATTGATGTTGATTTTATTTTTGAAAATTTTATTCTAGTTTTTGTTTTCCTTTGTCTTTTGGCCTTGGCGCTAATTTCATTCTATTTCTGTATCAGATTTTATTTCAACTTTCTCTAATTTGTTTTTAATGCCAAATATGATAAACATGTGTCAGATATGATATTTGTAATCTGGGAAAAAAAATTTAAGGAACCCACGTTGAGTTGTATCTTATAATTAGATCGGATTTTAATGTTGGTTCCTTAGTTTTAAATTTATAGTTTTACAAGAAGTTGATCTGAGTTTAATAAATAAATGGGTCCTTTAGTGAATTTTAATTTTGATTCTTGTATTTTTTTTTGGTAGTAAAGATGTATTTTATTACTGAAGATAACCATATAACTTACAATAATTAGAATTCTTCATCAAAATTTATTTTAGGACAATTGGGTAGAGGGTGATCAATAATATAAAAATTATGAATCATATCCTTATATATATTTTTCCACTTAAACTCAAATCAAATCCTTATAAAACTATAAAGATTAAAACCAATAATCTGAAGTTGGCTAAAGAAAAAAAAACCTAATCGTTTGAAACTATAAAAAACAAAATTCGATTGAAGTATGACAAATAACAATGATATTAACTCATTTGCTTTTAATTTCGACGCATTTTACATTTTTTTAAAAAAAGAAAAATCGGGGGAGGGAGATACAAATTCAAATTTATACTTCGTTTCGACTTCCTGCTGCTCCATTCCCATGGACCAGCATAGTGCTCAAATTTCTGGTATTTTTAGGGCTGCGAAGCCGCTTCTTGCTCGCAAAAGGGCTCGCGATGACTCGTCCACCTCCAGCCACCCTCAAGATTCTCCTTATCAGTAAGTAATATGCAGTCTTGTTTTTCATATTGATGTACGAAAGATATCTTCCATTTTCTGGTCTGAATAATGAGACACGAAATTTCACATTCTCTTTAAGTTTTTCTTAATCATTTTTGGTATAAATTTTCCTGTTCGCCTGTAGCTGTCTTGTACATGAGATCATATGCATATGCCTGCTTGAGTTAATCGGCACATTTTGGTTTATTCCTTGTACATTTATTTATGTTTACAGAATCAAGAATGGAGGTAAAGTTGATGAGCCTGCTATGGTTTCCATTACCGAAAGGGTTCCTCTAGCGGAGTTGCCGGTGAATACCCAATCTGCCTTTTTAAACAAGACAAAGACTGCAATGGGCTATGGCCATAGTCTGTGTGATGCAATCGATGATAGCTTCAGTGCAAGACCAGAGGCTAGTCCCATAGTTTCTACCAAGAGCCTGCGGCTATCTGATTTTGAAACTCCAAGGAAAGAGACTGACAGTTTAAGTGCAGGAACAATGGCTGTTCCCGTTGTTTCAGCAGAAAGCATGAGTCTGTCAGATTTTGAAACTTCGAGGGCAGAATCTGAGCGTTCTAGACCATTGGAAAATTTTCCGATGACTGGTCTTCTTGATGATGATTTTGATGAATCTATCTTAGAGCAAATTGACAATATATGTCAGCAGAAATCAGCTGCAAAATCAATGGGGCAGGAGCCAGATGGTAGCTTTCAAGAGGAAGGTCGGAATGACAATGATATCAACGGTGATGTAAATGTGAGTTCAGGTACTATTTCTGGTATTGAGAGTGTAATGAGTGGTGACCTATTGAAAGATGTGGTTGATTTGGATCCTGAAGAACACACATATTCTCGGAATGGCACACAAAATGGCAACATGCCCGAGGAATATTCAAAATATTTGAAGTCTCTAAATGATCGTCAAAGAGAAGCAGCTTGCACTGATATTTCAATCCCCTTAATAATTGTTGCTGGTCCTGGAAGTGGGAAGGTCTTCACCTTTTCTGTTCTCTACACCTTGGATTTTTTTCTTTGGGCACTAGTTTTTATTATTGGAGGTGGAGTTAAATCTTTTTTTTTTTTTTGGGATGTATTTGATCAGACATCCACAATGGTTGGGCGCATTTTGGTGCTACTTAGTGAGGTGGCGCAGCTCTGACTTGTATCCCTCTTTTTCTAGTTTTCTTAACTGAAGTTCTCTTCCTTATCCATTTTTATGTTATTTATCAGCTTATCCTTACGTTTTTCATTTTCTGATAAAAAATTTGTTCAGGGAATCGGTCCATCAAATATTCTTGCAATGACATTCACGACTGCAGCAGCTTCTGAGATGAGACAACGAATTGGATCCATTGCTGGGAAGGCAATAGCAAAAGAACTTACAATCAGCACATTTCATTCATTTTCCTTGCGGCTTTGTCGTTCACATGCTGAAAAGTATGCGGCTCCTTATTTTGTTATCTCTTTAATGTTCTCTGTAGCTGCTGCTAATAAGTTATGGATTATTTGTTTCTCTCAGTTCTGTTTTATGTACTAGAGCCTTGGTTTATTTCACTAGCTACTCAAATATCCATCATGGTGCCCGTCACATGCCATAAGCTAATCTGAAGTTTAACAACAAGATTAGAGAATTGGACGTATTTCATTCAATTGGAGAGCTTAATAGGAGATTGAGCGTTGGAGAACCCTGTGGATTTTCATGTGATTGATTCTGTTGGCATTTCGCCATTTGTTCTACTGGCCTTTAATTTGTTTCCTCTTTTTTACTGGTTGACTCTCCATAAGTTCATATCCATAATCATGAGGGAGATATTTTGCTTTATTTATTAGTGTTTATGTTTTTGGGCGTTGATATGGGGAGGGGAATTGTCTCTTATTCTCCCCAAATATAATAGTAAGATCAGAGCTGCCTGAAATAATTCAGAGGCTCAGAGCACTATTCAGATCTGGGATGCTATTTCCTTCTCTACTAATTTTTGATAGTATTATTAGAACATGATGCCTGATGCACCTCTTAGATTAGGGAGCTACACCGTACTGGCCTTTGAGACCCCCGATAAGTTTACTTCTTACTGCAGGGCACCGCCCACCACTAGACAGATTTTAGGTTGGTTTACTCCAACTTCGGTTACTTAAAATTAAGCACCTATTTTATTTGAAATATGTTTTTATTTATTAATAATTTTTTAATAAAAAATCATATTTTAATCTTTTTTTTTTTTTTTTCCTTTAACGTTTTTGAATGAATTTATGAAGCTTTTTATTTTTGTTATTTATACTTGCTTAATTCATGAGATACTCATTGCTTGGGATCTTTATATGCGTAGCTTTTTCCATTTTGAGGAATTAAATATCAGAAGATCCTTTTTCTGATTTTCTTCGGTGAATAGGTTTTCAGCATTGAGACAGAAGGGACAGTTACTTTTTTTTTTTTTTTTGACCGGAAAGGGACAGTTACTTTGAACTTTAAGACCTATCACATGCTACACATTAAGAAGCAATATATTGTATTGAACAACATATAGTCCTAATATTTTGAGAAATCCACTATAATTAATGGGCGGGTTGAAGAGAGGTTTTTATGGACATATATGATACGCCTATGACTCTAGGCTAACCAACATTTCCAGCTGTAATAATTTAATTCATGTTTTGCTCATAAATTCAGAATAGTGCGGCCACTTACATTGCAGGTTAGGTCGCACATCGGATTTCTTAGTTTATGGACAAGGCCAACAGCGAAAAGCAATTATTGAAGCCATCCGGTTATTAGAAAATGGAAAAACTAAACAAAAAGATTGTTCTTTGTTGATTGGCGAAAAGTCCAGTAGTCTAACAAGTCAACAGTTCAAGGATAAGGCAAAGAAATGGCAGAAGTTTGTGACTCAGGTGTGGTGTTTTTGGCGGAGTAAATCATTTTTACCTTATATTCTTTTTGAATGATAAAGCGCTTCTTAGCCTTTGATATCCTTTAATCCTTTTGTGTTAATTATAAACACCATGACTACACTCTTCCTATGTACTAAACAAACTATATGCTGAAATCCTTGTTTGCGAAGAGTTTGACTTTTTTTTGATGAGGTTGTTTGTGGTTTGAATATGCTTAAACTGGAATAATAAGAGCTTATAAGCATAATTAGGTTCTGTAACACTCTTCCTTTTTGCATTGTTGAGTGATATTACAAATTTAGAAGTCTTTCCCACTAAGAGAAGAGTTACCATTTAATAGATATTATGGATTTCGGAAGACCATGTATGTCAAGAATATGGTTGCTCGTAAGTGCACAGGGTAGAGGGAAGATGTGCCCTCTAATGGTCAAAGTATTTTTATAGGGGGAGGTTAAGGGGTCAATTTTTAAAAGGGGTAAATCATAGTTTATTCCCTTCTTGTTTGATCTAAAATTAGTTTGCCCCTTGCAGTTTAAAGGGTCATTTGACTCTTGTTGGATTTATTCTGTGATCACTCAACCATCATGTGTCTTCATTCAAACTTAATTTAAACAGTCACTTAATGCTATTGTTTGGATCAAACTGTTCGTTTTACCATATCTGAGTAGAATATGATAAAGCTGTTCAAGGGATGATGGAATTTCATTGAAGCTTTTCTGGTACCCCAAAAAAAAAAAAAAATCTTTACTAGAAAGAAAGAGACGTGCAAAGGAAGATTAGACAACTTCCTGAAAGAGAGGACACAATGAAAGTCAAAAGATAAAATGACTGTGAAATAACAATATTGCCACTCCCTGATTCCCTATTCACTATCCATCTCAGTTAACGAAACTTCCTTAGGAGAGCCATGAATAGAACACTAAAGGGGATCAAGAAGAGATGATAACCTTACCTACAAGTCATTTATGGTTGTTGAAATTTAAAAATCCTAATATTCCTTTATACTGTGCAACATTTGGTTCTATTTTCTTATGTGATGAATTAGTATATTTGATCAAACTTATTTTGCGGGGAATTTACCAAAGACTCTTTGACTACTTTTGTAGCGATACCATATATTAGATGTGAAGTCCTTCCTTTATTGTGGATCCGTGACTCATTTGCGGGAAACTTATTTTAGTACTTATTTTAGTACTAGTCTTTGTATTAAGTTTTTAGCTCTGCATAAGAATTTATCCTTCATCTGCGTGAATGCTGGCTGGCATGCTTTCATTTTTATGTGGCTGGGGACCTGTGTCGACACAATTTTGCATTGATCAATGTCTGCATTTGTGAAATACATTTTATTTGTTGATATGGGTGTTTTATTACCGTCTTGCTACTAGTTATCAATCTAGAAACGTGGTATATACGATAATCATACAACATCGCAGGCCAAAGCTTCAGGAAGGACTTATGCAGAGTATCGTGAACTAGGCAATGAAATGGGAGTAAGCTGATAAAAGGCTGTTCCACTCACTCACCCACTCACGAATGCATATTTATCTATTTTTCATTCAAATTCTAAATCTTACTCTGGATTGAAATCAGGCTGAAATTCTCGAGAACTACAATAACATATTGAAATCTTGTAATGCCTTGGATTATCATGACTTAATTAGCTGTTCAGTGAAGCTGCTTTCTGATTTTCCTGAAGGTTAGTATTCTCTGAAATATGCCTGCAATTAAAGCTCTCTTCATTTGTTACAACTGTTGGTGCTGACCTTTTCTTTTAATTTGTAAATAAGTTTTCAAGGAGTGTCGGGATTTATGGAAAGCTATTGTCATTGATGAGTTCCAAGACACTAGTTCCATGCAATACACTCTTCTAAGAGTTCTTGCTTGCGACGGCAAAATAACTATTGTTGGCGATGATGATCAGGTGTGGATTATATTCTTTTAAAATTTCGCACATTAGAGAAGCATGCTGTTAGATATTTGTTTTACTTTTCTTACAAGCACCTGAAAAGGAGGTCCTTATTTCTGAATTCCAGTGCCTGTTTTATGTTTAAGTCTATTTTCAGTTTCAATGGAGCGGACACTTCTGGGTTTGTTTCCTTTCGTAGTGATTTTCCAAACTACAAAGAGGTTTGTCTTGTCCTTGGCCACGTTTCATGCTACACTCTTAGTTATTCATTCCGAATTTTGAGCCAACTGCATAGAAACCAAACCCTGTCATTAAATATCTTCATCCAAGTACTTGCATGACACGTCTTTATGATTCAGATTAGGCTTAACAAAAACTATCGCTCGACACGCTACATTGTTGAGGCTGCATCATTTCTGATACGAAATAATACCAAGCGATGTCAATTAAAGAATGTTCTTACTGACAACTCAAGCGGATCTAAGGTGCTCTATGTCTGTTATAATCTGTTATTGTGATTTTTCTATTTATCTAACTAAAATGATTTTGTGAATAAAATTTTTAGATTACTGTAATGGAATGTCATAACGAGGATGCCCAATGTGCATTAGCGGTCGACAAGATCTTAGAGCTTTCTTCTGCTAATTCCTCGTATGGCAATATTGCAATTCTTTATCGTAGGCAGGTGACGTTGCTTTGCTATTTTAAATATACACGCAATTACTTTTATATTTCACTAGATGTTTCCTTCTGATTTTTCTCCTGTAGATATCAGGCAAAGCCTTCCAAATTGCTTTTCGCGAAAGGAAAATACCTTTTAACACTCATGGTGTGGCTTTCTATCGTAAAAAGGTAAAATTTCTTTCAAGCTAGTTAAAAACGTATTTATATTTGCGATGTGGAACCGGTAACAAGAATATAGAAAATGGGGGTGGTATATGTAGAAAAGGGATAGACTACTAACAAGCTAATACAATCATATTACTAATCAGCTACACAGACCTGACTTTAAGAGTCCCCGAGATAATTTTTAAGATAATATGTTAACCTTGACAAAAGATTATAATCCTAAAAAAATAATTAAACCTATAAAATTTTGACAAAACAAAATAAAATAAAATATACTTTAAATAAAACATAGTACACTAAAATATTTCATTCTAATCCTAATTTATTCTTGATTGAAATACACTTAAATTTATTTAAAATATTATTTTTTTAATACTTATTTACGAATTATGAGTATCTTTATTTATTTATGCTCACTTTTTTAAAAGTAAGAATTGTTATTTGTGAAATAAGAAAATCTTTTTAAAAAATAATTTTAGTTGAAAATGTTCTTAATTTTATTTCCAACATATATAATTAGATAATTAAATGAAATTTCAAAGTATTCATTTAAATTTAATAATAAATTTAGATTGAACTTTTATTGTGATTGTTTCTAATTCTAAAAATGTTTTGAACTCATATTTTAATTCACTTATTAGAAATATATTAAGACAATGAAATAATTTAAATAATTGAATGATATCTTTGAGAATCAAGCTAGACATGTTTCTCTGTGCAATGCATGGTGTATGAGGTGAGTTGTATTGTGCATTCTTTACGAATAGTGCATTTTGCAATACAATTTATATTATATAGCTATTGTTGATACATTGATGACTGGTTAGTTTTTGAATTGAAAAAAAAAAATTCCTCTAAGAACAGCGTTAGAGTTGTTCAATACGGTATGGTTCGGATCAAATGGAAGTCAAACTTCTTTGTTCTGTTTTTATACTTTGGAGTATGAGCCACTAAAAGGATGAGTCACGCAAATCTTTTTCCAGCCACTCTCTCTGTAAAACTAATAATGCTCCACTCTTGAAACTTTATTATACCAACTTTAGCTGTCTAACTCTCTTCATTTTATATAATTGATCTATTTTTTTTAAAAAGATAATTCATAGAGGAAATGATGTGGCTTCAAATTATCGTTCAGATTTGGATATATCCCGTATCTATTTTGTGGTCCGTTAGAATGGATGCAAATACACATTGCTTATGTTTAAATTTGGCTTGGGTGTTTTGACCAAAAAACAAAAAATGTATAGGGGTGCATGCTTATGGGTAAATAGGAAGCTGAATCATGTATGTATTCCTTGGTTTTGAATTGCTTGTTTTGCCTGTTGTATTGTCTTTCATTTATTATAAGAATTATACTGTATGAGCCTTTCTATTCTGGCTTTCCATAGCTATCTATTTTCACATTCTCTCCCTAGCTTCTCCCCTCTTCTCAACACCATGCATGTTGAATGTTGTTTAGTCCATCTTGTAACAGGTTGTCAAAACTATCATTGCCATGCTTCGCACCGCATTACCTGGTTGTGATGATGATCCATATCTTCGTGTCTTCAAGGCTTTATTGCCTTTTGAGAAAGACCAAAAAAAGAGGGTACATGATTTATGAAGATAGTTATTTCAAATCTGCGCAAGGAAGTATTTGTTCGCAGATATTGTTTGTATAATTGTGCTCTATAAGTGTTTTGTTTTCTTGCAGGTAATTGAGCATGTCAAGAAAATTTCAACTATTCGGAAATGTAGTTTCTTATCTGCTGCTCGCGACATCTTTAATGCCAAGATTTCTGGTACCTTCAAGAGGTTTGGTTGAAATATATTTGCCGATGCATTATTTCTGGTAGTGCTCTCTTTGGTCCCTTATATGGCGTCTTCCAAAAATAAAAGGTGGTCCAAATAATAAGGGGTTTAGTCACAAAATTAAAAGATATTCCATATTTACCCTTGTAATCATGAGGTTGCACAGATTACAAAGATGAATGATATTTGTATCCCTTTAATTAATAAGGCTGTAATTGGAATATTGGGATGTTTTTTTAACAAATAAAGCAATCTAACAACTTTTCTTGATCCATGTGCAAGATGTCTATAGCACTTCATTTATCAAGGAATGGAGGGAGCATTTGATAAAACTCAATGCTCTGTTCTTTGGCTATGTAATAACATGTATCCCATACTTTGAAATGGTTAAAGGCATATTGAGATAAATTAGTGTGAAACCTTAGAGAGAGAAATTGGAGAATATGTTGGGTTGTGTGCCCATTCATAGATGTCTTATGACAGTACTAGAGGGTACAATAATATTACGATAAGTATAGACACTATTCAACACTATAGACATTGTAGTAGTACTATAATATTCTAATACTTGTGTTGTAAATACTACAGAATGGATTACACTATTCAACAACAGCATCACCAAGGCCATTAGGAGGTTGAGAATGAGGATGCTTGTGGTATGCGTAGATGATGGGAGGTTGTTTGGTGATCGGAGTGTCTAGATAAGGGGTAGGAAGAACATTAGAGTTTATAGTGACTTGCCTCTTCTTTTCTCACTTCTGCAAATGCCTCAGGAGTAGATGGTAGTGGTTTTCAATTCAATATTATTCCTTAGCACTTTGTTTGGTTCAACAAGGGGAAGGGAGGGGACTTTAGTGGAACGAAGAGGAGGGTGGGAAGGAGAGAGATTTTTAGGGCAACTTGGAAATTTAATATTATTATCGGGCAATAATATTTAAGAAGGCTTCATTTAAGAGTTTCCCCTCCAAAACCCCCCACTTTTTCAGGGAACGGGAAGAAGAGAGGGGAGAAAAGTTGATCCCCTCTCTTCTATTAGAAATTGTTTAACTAAACAAGAGGAGGGGAGTTGCAATCCTTCCCTACTCCCCTTTCCTCACCTCCCCACCCCTCCTCTCCTCTCCTCTACCCGATTGAAAACCCTGTATCAACAAGCTGTAAGGATTTCAAGAGGATAGAAACTTGAAACAAATTCACTCCCCCCCCCCCCCCGGGGGGGCTTTTTTCTCCCCAGGCTTTTGGTTCGAGTAAAACAGCATCGCCAGTGCATTCCATTCTTATTCGAAATTTAAATCAAGCTCCTGGCATAATGCCTACATTTCCATATAGTAGTGTGGCATGCTTCAACGTGCCAGCGTCAATTGTCACAAGTTGGTTTTAATATCAAAAGTTTATGACATGTCCTCTCTATTAGAGTATGCCATACAGAGCTTCCTATATTTCTCTAGCATTCTGAGGAAACATGGAGGACTTTCAGATTATGGGTACCATTATATTAACAAGCCATAATGATATTATAGAGTTCTTTGTATGCTAATGTAATATAGCCACTATATCAGATCCATCAGGTTCTTTTATCTCTCCAGTCAACTACTCTTTGAAGTTTTGGTGGTTCATCTTCTTAGTATCAAGCATGATATTGTTCGATGCTTCAAGGCCAGAGCTTTACAATTATGATCCATCAAGGACAATGGACATCGATTTGATGATTTCTAGAATTTGTTTGACAATTTCTGGCTCTCTTGCCCTACATTTACTCTCTTCCTCATGTTCAATGAGTCTGCTCTTAATTTGGAGCTTGGATCTGATACAAAGAGGGCCCACAAATTGATTTGTTTGATCAATTTATGCACAAGCCTAGAGTACACAAGCCTAGAGACAATCAAGCATTAAAAACAGGAAGGAAAATATTTGCTAGTTAACTCCTAGTCAAGTCATTTCTAGGAATTATTACAAGATTGAATATAACGCCTCTGCCTTTTATCATTTCTCATATGTCATAGCTGTTGTTGATCATAGGAGTCAGCTTGCGCATGGTAGGAAGGTACTCATGACACTAGAGATGATGTCAAAGCTCGTTCACCAGGTAAATGCCTTGTGTAAGCTTAGATAGCTGACTTCTATTTCTAAAATGCTTGTTACTCTAGTCTTCATTAATTTGAATATGCGTCCTGGTTAATAACTTTTATAGCATGCGTTATGCATGAACTCAAACACTGTTCACCATGCAAATGCTTGGTGATAGCTCTAGTTGATAACCTGTATTTCTAACATGCAAAGATTAGAAAACTTAGTTGCATTTTTCCTTCCCCCAACCACACCACACCCCCCCCCCCCAAAATTTTTTTTTTTTTTGACAAAGAAGATATCTCAGAATAGTTCTCACTTTTCTCTGGTATATCTTCATCTGTCAAGAAAATAAAATCTTGCAAATGTTAGGAGAACATATTTGTTATCAATGTATGGTATGCTTTTTCCCTGAGATGTTATAGCACGTCATTAAGTTTTTTTTTTTTAATGAAAATTAAGCTATTTTCATGTGTACCTTTTGCAACAGGCAAGTTCAATTTCAGCTGTTATATCATCAGTGGCAAGCATGATACCTGAGGTTTGTCTAAACTTGGAAATTTTCTCTTTTAGGTTTTGTATCCTGTAATGATTTGTTTGTCATATTTATAATGGGTGTAACCTACTTATGTAAGGTGGCTCTTACCCATGTTTTGACTTAGTTTTTTGACACTTAAAGTAATGTAACTATCTTTTTTAAATATTAAATTTTATATTTTAAAAAAAATTACTACTTTCTACTCAAATAGTGTTTTGTTTCAATAAAAATGTGTGGTATGTTAAGTTTGAAGATTGCTAGTGAATAAAAACTGGTTTTGGATAAATAAACATTTTTGAGACGGTATATATCATGAGTAGATTTACATCTTATACTAATGTGGATTTTTCTAAAATGATATGGAGCCACTAGGCGACTTGCCCTAGGAACCCAAAAAATACACTCAGAGGTCACACCCACGAATTCCAAATCAAGCAAAGTCTTTGATAAGAGAATTAGGGATGTAAGGAAATTTGGTCTTAGATCCCTAATTATAAGGATGAAACCACAAGAGGAAATCAATCTCTTGAAAAAACCCTAATTCTATTCAACCAAGAATACAATCACACAAGCACTCAACTTGCTCAGAAAATTCAACTTCATTAATCCCTCAAAATAACCTAACACTATGTGCCTTTAAATAGGCAAAGAAGAATTGTAACCGAAGCAAGACTCTTTAAAAACGCTAATTTACCTCCTTGAGCCCACAAGGTTCACTTAACTGATGGTCAACTTACAAAACGAAAGCTCATCTTAAAATAAAAAAAAAAAAACAAAGACTCAAATTGATATCTAAACAATAGCTTAATTTAAAAAAAGATAAATTAATTATAAAAGATCCTTGAAATCTTCCTAATAATCCACTAAATCCTAAAACACTCTTTTAAATTATTATAACATTAATTGAAAATAAAAGGAATTAATTAGGAGCCCTCTTGAATAGGATCTTTTGCATTTCTTCCTCCATGTGCACCATTGGGAAGTTGAATGTCACCTAGGATGCCACTCAACATGCCACTTGCTCTTTGTGATCCTCTTAGAAGTTGAATGCCACATAAGATGTCACTTGGCATGCCACCTACTCTTTTTGGGCTCATTCCTGGCGGGGCTTCTCGCAATTAGCCAGTGTCATGTAAAGTGATAGAATTGCCTCTAGGGTTTATCTCATAAAACAAAACATTTTTGGACAAAACTAATAAATACCCAGCAGTAGATTCTCCCATGAATGAATACTTTATGTGAACTCTAGATTGTCAATTATATTTTAGAAAAAGGCTTTGTTAATGAAGAATTTCGCATTCCATATTGGAAATTAGGGTTATAGAGTATTGAGTTGAATATATAAACCAGTAGAGAGACAGTATAGATCACGATATCAGTCTGATTAAATATCTTACAAAATCTCCCTGAATTAAATAAAGATAACATATCATAATAATCCCACATAATTGGGATTAACAAAGGGGAAAATCGGCCAAAAACCTTGTTTTTATTGGCTATGAAGACTTGAATTCTAGTACCAGTACTTTCTGTATATGAAATCCTCCAAAGTATTAAGTACTTTTTGCGTATAAAAACATATCAGGTCCTTTTGACCACTAAAATTTTCAAACAGGGACTTTTCACTTATTTTCCGTTAACAAAAAACAAAAACAGAAACAAAGGAAGGAAAGATAAAATATTCAACAGGCCCATTAAACAAGCCCTTCATGTCAATGATTTCCATCACTCCCACTCAAGATGGAGAATAGGTGTCAATCTTTCCTAGCTTGCTCCATAATGAATACATGCCCTTCTTTCTTCCTTTTGGTCTAATAGAAGCTTCTTTCTTAATATTCCAATTTGATTTTCTGATTCTTCAATAGCTATTCATCTACTTATTAATGTTGAAATCTTTGAATTTTAGAAATACCTTCTTGACCAACGGGCAGTGGTTGATGTTGATGGAGGGACATATTTGAATGAAGACTATGATGTCAGATCTGTAAGTATTTATTCATGGTGCTCATTCAATAGACTGGAAGAGTTCAAAGTCAAACCAAACTGAACTGAAAATACGCATTGAAAGTAGAACCATTATGAGCACGCATGAAGTGTAGAATGAACAATAATAGTAATTTATGGTATTTTAGAAAGCGAATTTTTCAATACCAGTAAATTATATGGTTCGATGAGCTTGTATTGTGAGTGACAGAAACCATTCTTTTCTTATTCAATAGTTAGAGGGAAATAGAGATTAGACAAATAATAGAGAATTCAGGGTTTAGTCAGCTAACCTGATAATCAAGCAAAATGAGGAAAAAATATCTCATCTGCTTCTAATCTTATCGAATAAGAAAGAAAGATAAAATTAGGTCAAAAGTATGATGAATAAGCTGGAGTTTAATCCTGCATTACACCTATATCTCACTTACATTCTGGAGGGAAGATGGTCTTTTGAAAATAAAAGTAAATTTATCAACCCTTTGAAATTTAATGTCGAATCCTTTTTTATGTTTTTCTTGTTTGTTCATGGCATTATTTACTTCTTTATTCAGGTTCTTCAATACCTGTTGGATGATGTCTCCGAGTTTTTGTCTACTAAACTTGTCGAGGTGAAAAGGGATGAGGAAGTAATGTTAGAAAAAGGCTGCACTAATGTGCTAAGAAAATTCATTGACTATTTATCTCAGCGAGAGAAGGAAAATTTCTGTGCTAGGAGGAAGGACAATAAAAATTCTGTGACATTGACTACCATTCATCAGGTACTTCAGTCTCACTTCGTACATATTGAAGGGAATTTTGCCAAATTCTTAATAGTGTTACGTGTTTTGCTATGTAGGCAAAAGGGTTGGAGTGGGATGTCGTCTTCATAATTAAGGTATGTTAAACTTTTTGTATGATATTGGTCTGTGACAAGCTAAAAAATGAAGTGGATAAAACTTTCTTTACGTCTTCAGATTTGCTTCGTGATTTCTTTTGTTTTCAAAGAATAATTCAAATTCCATATGCATTTATGTCATCTTAAAGTAATTATATGATTGACATATATGTCAGGCTGACAACGTAATTGCACATTGGAAGTCAGAACCGACTATTGGTTGAAAAACATATCAAATATCACTTCATCTGGCTTTTTATAAGTATCTAATTCAACATGTTGGTCATAGGCTAAAAATGAAGTGGATAAAAATTTCCTTACAATTTCAGACGTGTTTAATGATTTCTTATATTTTCAAAAGAAAATTCAATCTCTTATGCACTCATTTATGCGTGTGAAGTAGTATATTATTTTGTAGTTTATTGTAAACAGACTTTGATTTCCTTTGGTTTTTGCAGATTTTTTTATAGTTCTGGGGGCATTATTGTAAATTGCCTAAGAAGTCCCTGTCCCTAACTTCAATCATTCTTTTATCATTTAAATTCGTTTTTCACAATATGATCTTGAAGTAATTATATGATTGACTTTTATGTCTGTTTGCACATTGGAAGTCACTGAATTAGAACTGAGTACTGTTGAAACTTACCAAATATCATATGTTTAGTTTTTTCCAAGCATCCAATTGAACATGTCAGTCATAAAGTGCGTCTAGCTCTGCAATTCATTTTGATGTGATCTCCTAGTCCAGGGATCATAATTCTGTTCTGTTGTTGTGTGTTATGAAAATTATACATATGAATTGATATGCTTTCTTGCCTAAGCTAATTAGTGTTTTCTGCTGGTATAGGCAAATGAATCTGAGATTCCTCTATTACATGATTTCAACGGTAATGTAAAGGAAACAGGAACCTTAGTTGAGGTATACCATGATTCTTGGTAGAGTTGCTGAAGTTATTTATATGTCCTCAACTTTATTGTTTCAGATTGATTATCTAAATCGATTCTCATACGATTTTCAGGAGGAAAGACGTTTGTTTTACGTTGCTATGACTCGTGCTCGTCAGAAGCTTTTTATTCTATATGTAACATTGGATTCAAATTGGCAGGTTTGTATTGCTTAAGATAAAGTTCACTGTAAATTTCTCACATTGGATCTTACCAATTTTGTACATCTCCAGATTCTTCAACCTTCACGGTTTGTAAAAGAAATTCCTCATCATCTTCTAGAGGTCCAGGTATTTCGTCTGCCTTCCCCTTTTCTACTAAACATTTTGACTGAGGCCTATTAATTTTATTGCCGGTGTTCAAATGGTCTAATAGCGTGATGATTAAGTTAAAATAAGTGTACTCCTCGCTAGTATTTCAAACCTACACCGGTCGTACTTCCCTTCTGCTTTATCTTGGTTAGGTTTGAGAGAAGCTTGAGGTTTCAATTGTTTCTGTTTTCAAGGTGGTAGCTGGGACTACCCATCTGAGCGAGCTCTGAATCCGTATTTCTCCATTGAATTTTTTCCCCCCTTTTTCTTCCTTTTGATTTTTTGGGTGGGGGCCAATTCTTTGGCATAGCTGTGCGAACTTTTTTATTTGAACCGCTTTTCCTGTGATTAAGATATAATCCAGTGAAGGAATGTTAACTGGTGAGCCCTTCAAAAGACGTTTGTTTCTGGAGTTCCCGGTCAAAACTGTTTCAAATGAAACAATTTACATTACAACAGAACAGAAAAAAAATGGTAGGACTGGAATTTTCTGTTTGGGTGAAATGATAATTTAACCCGTTGAAAATCCACCAATTTCCAACTGCCTCTGATCTTCAATTTTCTTCACACCAATCATCTGCCCGAACAAGTAAACATTTATATGACAGGTTTTTGTCAATATATTTATCACTTGTTCTGCTGATGGAACAAGGTTCACTTCTAATAACAGATAAGAATAGAATCTGAACCATGACTGTTTTGAATGGAGGGCAAAGAAATAAAGGTAGAGCCATTAACGTGTAGGCCTAGAAAACAGGGATATGGGGAATGTATGAAAACAGATGAAATAAAATCAAATTCTATTTCCAATAATTATATGCATATAATTTCTCCATTAATACTCCGTCTGGCACTTCTTCATGAATAAAGTGTTAATCTAATTCAACATGCCTGGTTTTTGTGTTTAAAAGTGGGTTTGCTGCAAGTTCTAAAGTACACAAATTGTTACACACCTGATGCTCCATGTCCCTATCACAGAAGTTGCTTGGAATAAGTGTGATTGTATTTCTGATATTTTGTTACTTTCTGTGTGAATATCTGATTATACTTACACCCTGCCAAATTATTGCTAATTTGAATACAGTTTAGAGCTTGAGCTCCATCAGTATATCATCATAGGCAAATAATATACACAATGATTACTCTATATGAAACTCCACTGGGGTTCAAATGTGATTTTATTACAACTGATGATTGTAATAGTTCTGTTTTGAAAATGCTCTTCTTTTATTCCTCTCAATAGGAGTTTTATCTTTTCTCTAGTAATTATTTAATATCTGCTAATGTTATTTAGATATTCAATTATTTATGACTGTGCAATCAGTGAATAGTATGTGCTTACGTAGGGTGAAATCAGTGCACAAGAGTTACACCTTAAGCGAGAAGTTCTCCCAAAGGAAACTGTCCAGTCTAATGATCTGTTGGTCAATAAGCAACAATCGGAAGCAGACGTGATGCCTATCCCTGGTTGTTTGCTAAACAACGGTGATAGTGAGTGTTCCATGGAGCTTGCAGAGATTGCATGGGCAAATAATGGAAGTAATTTGTTAAGAAGGTCCCCCTCCAATCTGGGATAATTATAGTACATTGTTATTTATCATGCTCTTAGCAGTGTTTGGTTTTGAAAAGTTCCTTCCTAATATTAATCTCTTTCAGATTTCATGTGGAGGACAGATCTTTAATTTCTCAATTATTCCATCAGTGGGCCAGAAAGAAAGCATTTCATGATCCTAAGAGGTTGCTTGGCAAGGTACTATTGCCACAAAATGTAATGTGTATATGTTGTGGCATTAGCTTGGTCAATTTCAGCATATTCAAACTTAGAAGTACCACATTTGGAGTCTCCCAATCAGACCAACTTTGGTTCTATTCCAATGACTGCAGAAAATCCGCCTGCGGCCGAATGAGTGCTGTCTTATAGCAATTACCTTAATCACTGCGTGCTTTATTGTTTATTAGAGGCAGTGTGAAGAAATACTATTATTGTTTATAATAATAATATGTAATAATCAAGACAATTATAAATTTAAATCATAGATTAATATAAACTTTAAAACATTAAGGAATTCTACTCGTTGAAGATTATACAAGGTTAAGTTTATTAATAAAACAAGCAGGCATACAGGATGCCCTATCATCTATCTGGTAACTGAATCAAGTTCTCTATTTTTTGTTTTTCCATGCAGGTTGGCTTTATAATTGATGAACGCCTAAGAGATAAGAGGAACAAAAACAAGGTCCATCGATGTGTGCCTCTTTCCGGATCAATCTTTCTGAGGGATTTAGAGTCACTGTTGTTTTTATTATTTTTTTCGGTGAACGAACTTTGAAGTTACTTAGCACTGCATTCATGCGTTCTTTCACATTCACTTGAAATGTTACGTATTTTATATTCAGGTTACGGTTTTTATTTCCATTATTTGATCTCATTAATCTTAATTGGTGGCAGGAGTCATGAATTATGCTTATTAAACTTCCATGATCTGCTTTTGAAAATCCTCCATATAAACTAGTTTACTTTTTTGTCTGTCTGTAGTGATTGACACTGAGAGATGGCTACATGATCAAATCTAGATTACCCACATAATTTGAAGTGCCCAAAGTGTTTAACATATATGGCGGTCAAATATAAGCCTTATTTTTTGTGTTTGTGGTTCATATGTCCTTTGGCCACATAAGGGTTGAAGTGCTCATTCCTTTTACTGAGAACAGTCCTGAAACAAGACGAACGATTTTTCTTTTTCCTCCCTCTAACCAGTCTCATCAGTCTCATCCTTTTCGACTCTTTTATCTATTATTTATGATTGTTGTTTGTTCATTTTATGCATTGAGTGAAACATCCTGAGATGATTCATTTTGCAGAATGTCTTGAATTTTACACTTTCATCACCTTGATTTCTAGCTGCAATTTCAGGATTTGTTGCGTTCACTCAAGTCTTGCCTTAGCTGTGATGAAGCATTTCAGTATGCTCAATATGTAAGTTACCTTAGATGTTTGCTGCAAAAGTGCAATAAAATCTGTGAGTTTCCGCTTCAAAAGAATGGGATCTTCGGTCATATTTAATTTTGTGAGGCTGAAATTTAATTGTAGGTTTTGAGGTGGGAGCAGATTCCTGCTGATAAACGTGCTCTACTTACGAGAGAAAAACAGGTTTGGGTTACTTGACCGTTTAATTAGTTGGATTTTGATGAGATCTTTGATGAACTGTAAGAAAACCACATTTCATCGATGCTAAACAATAATTTACCAAAAGAAAAATCTGGTAATATGGGTCATTTGAATTGTTAAAACCCTTTCTTTAGATGTTGAATATGATAAACTTCTTATAGGCCCATTAGTGTTAATTTGTCAAAACCAAATGTGACTATTTCATTCAATTTCAGGAGCACTTCATGAAATCAAGGATTGACAGTGCAATGGGTTCAGCAACGCCAACTCATAAGCAGGTAAGCAAATGTAGGCTATAACGTCATTAATTTGATTTTCCTATTGGATTAGGTAAAAGATTAGTTCAAGTAAGCTATGGCTTAAGCAGAATCACAGAAGTCACGCAATTTTTTTGAACATATCAAATAATCCCTCCAATTCAAAATATAAGCATCGAATCTCTAAAAGGGCTTGGTTTTTTTCTTTTATTTTTTAAAGTATCACTTTGGATCTATCTTATCATTTAACATTTTTACCCCTAATTAATCGTATGTCTCTTTTATCTCTTTTTAACATTTATTCTCTCTCATTTCCTTTTGCACTTATTCGCTCTCCCATTTACCTTCTCCATAAGTAAAAGTGTTTTAGGAAAATAAGTTATATTGTTTTGCATATTTATTGTATTTAACCAATTTTAAGTAACATTTTGAATTCTGTGAATTAGTTATTTAATATTTATATTTGAATCAGAGGGTTGCATTACCTGCTAAGTGTTCATTCAAGTACAATGCTGATATGCTGTTAGAAAAAAGTCCAACTTTATGGTTAATAATATGGTTCCTTGTTTTAGGATTCAAAATGTTTTGTCCATTTTCTTGCAATAGTTGTTTAAATACATTAAGATGCCTCCATGAGTTCTGACTTAACGAGCATGGAGCTCAAAATTGAAGACTTCACGATCAAATCCTATTGATGTATTACCGTTGATTTCGTATATTTACATATATATATTTCCATCATATATTTATCTATATATATTTCCAATTGGATGGAGGGATGGGTTTGTAGTTCCATGCCTTTCTATTCATTTTGAACCTGTCTTTATGTTTCAAATGCCTTGCTGCAGATTTCTTATTTGAAGAAACTGGGATGCACTACGACTCCTACATCGCGCCTCCATGCATCGCATCTTATCGAGCAATACAAATCATTGTAAGAAAAAGCTTTTAGTTTAAATGCGGTTAGTTCTATTGTATAATATTCTTTCAACGGAGGATGTAATTATCTTGTTTAATGACACAATTTATATGAGCCTTTTGGGTTTTAATTATCTTCAATTTCTGATGTTTTTACTCTTTTTTTTTTTTTTCCTTTTTATCTCATGTCTTTGTATTCTTAGAAGTGTATTTTCAGTCTTAGACTTTGTTTGATATGAGGAGAATAGAAGTAAGGAGAGGGGAGGGAAAATTTTAATTACCTCCGTTTAAAAAATTAGAAAAATGGGATTAAAAATTTTAAATTAATTTTGCCTACTTTTTTATATTACATTTCTTTATTAAAATTTTATAATTCTACTTCAATTTTCAAAATTAAGTTCATTAAAAAAAATTTCCCCTTCAATCCCCTCTAATTCTCGTATACCAAATATGGGGTTAATGTTAACACATTAACAAAAAATACTAAATGAGTTTAAATGCTAAAAAAGCATGCTTAGGATTTTGTTGATGTTAAAAACCAAATGACATCTTCATTAGCTTTTATTTTAAATGGTTTTCTATTTACACAATTTAAATTACAGATAAATATTTCAATATCTAATCACAAAATTATCCTTTAAATTTGCTGAATCAACATTTTTTGTTAGTTAGACTAATGTTAACTAAAAATTCACTTTACAAACTCAAAAAAATTAAATTAAACTTGGTGAAAATTTAGTAGCATAAAATTATTAATATTATCATGGTGTAATAAATTTTAATAATTTTTTTTGCTAAAACAAAGAATTAATTAAATTTAGTGGTCATGGATATTTTCGTATTTTTGTGACGTTAGCGTGAAGCTCCCATCATAAAAAGTAAGTCATTAGACAAGTTTACTGATCGCATCATTTTTGCTTGAATTTTGTAAGTTTATAGATATTTTTTTTTAAAACTTCATAAAGCTTATAACGCTAGGCACACTTTAAGTAAAAGTTTACAAATATTTTTACACATTAACAATTTTATTCTTAAAATCTTGTAATACCCAGTTAAATAACCAATCACATTTGAAGCAATGAATTCATGATTTTAGATATGCATTAGAACGTGGAATGCAATGATAGAGCATCAAAGAATGTGAAACAGTGAAGTTATACGGCCAATGGTAACAGAATGTTAACTTGTATTGTCCCATGCACGCGGGATTTATTTTTGTTTAAGAAAATTCAATAAAAAGACACGCTATGGTCTTTTTAATTAATGTCTAAGCGAAGGTTTTCATTAATTCAATTGTTGCACAAGTTTGAGCTTCTTGAAATAATCCTTTAGAAAGTCGGATTGAATCAATATTGAAAAAATGGTCAATCAGTTTGAGACTTTGATTCTTCCATGCCAAAACTATTATTTATACATTACAAGATACTTTTTATTTTTTAAATGTAAAACCTATTTTATAGTACTACCTCTGTCCTTAATATAAGATGTTTGATTTTTATTTTGGTTCTAAATATAAGATTCCAATCCATTTTGTCTCTTATATTTATGTATTTTTTTCCAAAATAGTCTTTCTAACAATAATAGTTATAACCAATAAATTTGATTAGCAAAGGAAAGATAACACCTATTTATTACAAATAACTAACTTAACTTCTTTCTTTAATCTTTTTAAATTAGTCAACTAGCTCTTATAATTAGGACCGGAAGTAGTATAAATGAAAGATCCATTTAGAATGAGAGGGCCTATTATATATCTAAGATGCAGTACTTGAAACCTTTGCTACTTACATACTACATATTCAAGTTTTAATACCAGAAGGAAATTATTTATACAATCAAAATGCTTAGGCCTTCATAAGCATTAACTTTTCAAAATTGCTTAGCCATATTCCTGGCCTCAGTTAAGGTGTTCACATAGCATACCTCTTGGGCCCGAATATTCGGCATTTTATCCACAATCTCCGTTTCCACATGGTACTCTTCCTTTATTTGACCAACCTCCTCATCGCTCATCAGAGTAGCAGCCACATTCTGCCAAATCAAGTTCGAAGCTTTCTTGAGCCAAAATTATAAATGAGATGCAGCCAAAAAATAGATGGAAATTATTTCTACTAGACATGTGCAAGATCTCAAAATATATATATATATATTTTGCATGATGCTATTGTGCTCTATCAACAATTAAGTTTTTGAATAGATTGTTAACCGAAAGATATTGCTCAATAACTTTACAACATGGATATCTCACAAAAATAACTTGATGAAGGTGTAGCAGAAAGATGGAAGACAGTGCGTGCATGCGTGCGTGTCATAGAATGTATTAATGAATTAACTCACCCAAAGGCTACCAAAACATGAATTGAAGACTGAACTAGAGGAGAGCTGTGTGCGTTTCTGTGTCCATGTTACATTATTAGAATGCATTAACTCACCCAAGGTCTACCAAAGCAAGAATTGAAGACTATGAACTTGAGGAGGCCTTCATCAGATCCGCATAGCTCTTGACCGGAAGTAGCAGAAACAAAATGTTTTTGAGAAGCCAGCTTAAAACACGAACCATAGTTTTTCACAGTAATTCTCTTGTGAGTGTTCAAAATTCGTCCAAGACGATCAGTAGCAGTATTGGGAGTATTGCCACTGATCCCGGCCAGCTTTAGTAACCAGTCATTGCTTTTAGAGAGTTTTTCATGTAGTCTCAACAAGGTTGCTGCCATATTACCATAAGTCCAGCAACAACACGGAGATGACCCGTCATCTATATCCAGACATGAAAAGGGAGAAACAATAATCAAATCCCATGTATAGAATAAGGGATGTCACGTCTCAAGTGGAAACATGATCACCATTTATTCTAACCACACCAAGCGGTGAACAAATAGGAGACCCCTACATGTCAACAAAATTCAAGAGCAGCGCAAGCATGAGAAATTAAATGCCATAAATTCATCAGAGAATGAACAGAATATCTAAGGAACAAATGAAAATTTCATCATGCCAAGCACCAATGCCTAAAGAACAATAGATGACATGAAAATGTAACAAGTCAAACCACATTCAAGGCAGAAGTGCTTCTTGGGCATTCAAAATACAGTTGTTAGTCATGCCTGAACCTAAATGTTAAATCCAAATAACTTACCCAACACAAAACCAGCAAGTGGAATGTCCAAAAGAGATGCTAAAGCATTGCTTTTTGCTTGTAAATCACATACAGTGGCATTCCTCTCTAGAACCAAAACAAAGACTGCGACAACCTGTTCGCAACAAATAGCAATAAATCTAACCCCTCTAAAAGTAACAGAATTAATATATAAATTTAGAACTTACTCTGCAACGAAGCCAAATTTTCTTGTGACTCAAGCGTTGGTTCAATTCAGAAATCAAACCAGAAAATAAAGGGGCTACAGATGCATCACAGGTATATGAAGTAGATCTAAAATTGCAGGGCCCATCACTGTTTGATTGATCGTGTAATATTACAGAGTTTATAGCAATAAATGATACTGGCAGCAACAGGAATTCATTGTGACCCCTGCGAATTAATAATAAAAGTTGTTAAAATGATGATGACGATATCATTAATCAAAAACTTCCCAAGACGTCTCCTCCCTTCATTAAGGGCATTTAGTTTACACCATCAAACATTCCTGGGAAAATAAAATTCTCATATTTGGTTCGTCACATGTATTCATGGTATGCAGTCCATGAGAGAGTCATGCCAACATACTTGCTAGCCAAAGCAAACACTAATCAGATTATAATTATTTTTAAAAAAAAAAGGAAAAAAAAACGTAGGATAGAAGATAGGCGTTCACAAATACTAATCAGAGATTAAAAAAAAAAAAAAGTACTTGGGACTCTTTTTTTTTTTTTGGCCAGGGAATACTTGGGATAGATGACATAAGTTCGCAAATACTTTCCATTTCACATGGTTACTGAATAACAACAAATAGCAGCTAGCACTAACACAATAAGATTGCATTCAAGACTAATCAAACAATTACACAAACATCTTATCATAGATACATACCTCAAATCAAGAATTCGATGAAATGTTGCACATACACCAGGACCAAAACCAGGAGGAAAAGCACGTTTTCCTATCAAACCAATTATCTTCGCCTAATAATAAAATAAAATGTAACAGATAAGTTGTCAAAACAAACATATAAGAGAAATATATAAACCAGTTGAGTTCGCATTTACAATGTGTCCATCTACTGAGACATGAATGCATATACTGCTTCTAGCTCCAACAGAGCCTTTCAACTGAAGAGCACTTATGCCTGTACAAGTCAAACATGAATTTCTAATACTAGAACCAACGTCATGACTGTCAATGATATAACCCTGGAGATTAATCAAATTCCCCTCAGGAAACAAGCAGCTTGAAACAAGACACTCAGAGGACTGAGAAAGGCTAGCAGTTGCAGCTTCAGTTGTTGGAGAACGGATAAGACTTGCATCTGATATTGTAGATGTCTGGCCTTGACCTTCTGAGCCCATAAAATTGTACCGCAGGAGATCTTTTAGATTTGCAGGGATGCAAAGACAAACATCTGAAGTGATACCTGATGCATTGCCATCTTTGAGAAAAGCCCTGTTATTGCTAGGATCCTCCTCAGAAAGAAATGAAATGCTCCATATATATCTTAAAGAATCGAGAACTTTAACACTGTTACAACTTTGAGCATCTTTTAAACTGCAGAAACAACCTTTATGATGTTTTATGGCGTAAAAATGACCAATCTGCAACTGATGCAAAGGTTGAAGTGATTCAATGCTCAAGCCCACGTAGCAAACGACAAAATAAAAAACTAGATAATATCTACTGCACTAAGTAAATGCATAATGGAAAATGCACGACACACCTGATAGTTCAAAAAATTCTCAGATGAGATTTCCAAAAAAATGATTCTTCCAGTTTGATGAGAATCAACGTCTTTATCTACAGTAGAAAAGTTAGATTGCAAGATAGCTGAATTATTTATATTCTTATGAGGAATGTTTCTAAATGTAGCCTGACAAGGTATCTGGTGAGAACTCAAATTGATAGGGTTCTGTTCTCCTGAGCTACTGAAAGAATTAGAACAAGCACAGAGAGAATAGCCAATTTCATCTTTCAGCAATGGGTCTCTTGATGCCTCCACAAGTTTTTGCCTCTTAATGGGTACCTGCTTGTTACCAGTAGCATTACCCCAGAAATTACTTTCTTTATGTTCCTTTACCAGACACCTTGAACACAAATTACCATCTTGCCCAGTAAGTAATAAATCCAAGGCAAAAGCATGGCTTCAAAAAAAGAACTTGGTTTGCTTGACATCTGCAAGAATATATAGATGATTTGAATATTGAATGAATTGATGCAAAAATGCTGACATACATGTAAAGGAAAAAATTTGGAAAAAAGATAACATGCAGCGAAAGAATCTTTCAGAATAATGACTAAACCGTAAGTAAATAGCATTAAAGGAGTTTGGCTATAGGAGTAACTAATCCATTTAGATAAAAACTCATTCTGGTCCTAAACTAGAAAGGACAGCCTTTTGATTTACTGGAAGCATTAAAAACATTCATAGTAGAAATCATTTCATTAAGAGGAATACAAAAGACCCAATGATTGTCCTTTTAAGAATTCTAATTGTTTTTACAACTTTCAACAGATTTGATAACAGTTCAGGACTTCAAAAACATCATAACCAAGGCTATTTTATTAACCAAATAGAAAGAACCAAAAATAGGAAATAACTTTTGTACCGCCATAAAGAATTCTTGAACTATCAGCACTACGCAAACTAATAATCCTCAGGAAAAATCTATAAAGCAGTTGAACTTGCCCGTGATGACAAGAACCTTATGATTTTTAATGGAAACCATTTAAAATGACCACCGGCTTAAACATGGGCATAAACTTTACCAATCCTAGAAACTGATCACAAAACATTTTCATCCCTAGCTTCTCTATTATCATGTTTGATCATCAAACTTGTTCGATAAAAATCATCAGCAGCACGAATGTAATTACACTTTACTGTTGAAATATACCTTCTGTAGCTGAGGAAATTTGTGGGATACCCTAAGCAGATGGTAGTTTCCAGGTTCAAGTATCTTAGATTCATTCTTCATGCTTGGATAGAAATGAAGTGGGAAATTCCTGCATTGTACGTTCTTCCAGAGAAAGTGAACATGGATTAATAAGTTTAAGTCTTTTGTTGGCTGTGTGAACTTGCATTTAAAGATGGCTCCACATGATAATGACTCAGCGTCATACAATTCCAAGTGATCCACAAGTTCAGGTATGCCGTCCACTATAATGTTAAAGTCCATCACCTATATGTCCAAAACAATAATGTCAGACAGGGACTTGAAAAGGGTGAGAATGCAGAATGTCAAATCAATGATACAAGTTCAAGAGGATAATACTGAAGGAAAGAATTTGCAACAAAAAGATCATGGGGACCTCATATAATTCATCAGGATCCCATGTTAACGGAAGATCAGGTATTAGGACATCAATGCTGCCGGTAGCATCAACCAACTGCAGTCTTCCAGTTGATGGAGCAACCTGAACATTCAGAGCAAGATCATGTATCGCAACTTATGCTGATAGGAGAGATGCCAGCAAATCAAAGTTCCACAACACAAGAAGGTGCCACTTCAAATAATTAAGGACCCGAGGCAATTACATAGACAGCTTAGTAGCACATAGACAAACAATCAAATGATGATATATAACCTTTAGGTACCCGAGCAAAAGGCAGCCAACATCTTCACTGGAAATGATCCTTCTAACAGACTGACCACAAGATCTCACTTCACAAGATAAAAATCCCGAATGGTTGTCCACTGTCAGCGATTTACAGTCATTTCCTGTCTTCAGTATTCTCATTATGGTCGTTCTACAGTGACAGATAAAAATAGACATGGGTAATACCTGCAATAACATGGTTACAGTGATTTTACTTTTAATTGTCAATGACACATAATTTTGTCAACCAAAACAAACAAACATGTACAAACTTAATGAAGTACTAAAACCTAATCAAAGGTAACCACCAGTGAAATACCAGTTTCAGTGAACCACAATGCAGCTCTCTGCCACACCCAAATGAATCATGTCTACACAGCCCAAGGAAAGCACCAAACTACCAACAAAATTCAAATAACATAACCAACCAAATGAAAATGAAGCAAAATTTGTTTCATGAAAGAAAAAGTTTCAGTCAATTATTGATATACCTGTGTCTGAAATACAGGTGAAGGTAACTGTAATCGAGCAAACATCTGAGCCAGTCCCTCTTTCTGGTAATACATTGGAATGACCATTTTTCAGATTTGAAATAGAATGTAAAGCTTCAAGTACAATAGGAAACTACATACAACCAAAGGAAGTAAATTACATAATTTGATCCAAGAAGATCTGTGTCGGATAAGATCCCACCAAACTTTTTACGTAGGCTTGAGACAAGAAATAATACCCTGCCAGCCAGCAGAACAAAATACTAAACAAAGAATTAAAATTTTGAATTCCTACAGTTATTATCATGCCATTATTACCATAGTCTTTCAGCAAATGGTAGTGACTCGATGAATTTTCCCAGCATACTTGACGATTGTGGAATCATATGACACCTGCAAGGCTTAATTGAATTGTCATCACTTATGTAAAACACGAAGGAATAAAAAGGAAAAGACGCAAAATGCACAAAGCTCAACATCAAAAGCATTTAGACGCAAATGCATCTAGGGCAACAAAACCCAAAGTTAACTAGGATGCTATAGTATGAGTCCAATTACCCTAGGCACAAATGTTTTTTCAAATCTCTAACCAAGTCCTAGTTACCCCAATTACAAACCATAATTGCCAAACAATAATTATCATAAAATAAATAATGATTAACTAAATCTGCATAGGATATGTTTGGAGACAACTAGGAATACCAAATAAAACAGAAGAATTCAAGGAACAATCAGCATAAAAAACAAAAAAGATGCAAAACATCCTTATAATGCCTATAAAAAAAAGAAGGCGTGCACATTGAAAGTGAAACAATGCCTCAAATGGAAATAGGGAAAATGTTATGTGTACGAAACAATAGTAAATACACAAGACAGATGAGACCATCATATTACAAGAATTCATGTGACCGGAATCTGAATGGAAATAAGAATAATTGTAGTAGTACATACTCAGTTTCAAAAGGGGAGAAGGATTCCACCACAATGCTACTCTTGAAGCAAGCGCCAAGTATAAGAATTTTTGTCCATGCAAACTTGGGATCCACGAAATGGACATTTCTGACAGATATCTACATGATAAAGCATAGTTTTATACAGAAAGTCATCCTTTCACTATAAATGTCAGTTCAAAAGAATATGAATTTTACTTTACTTACAATGGCACCGACTCTAACACTATGTGGCAGAGTAAGTTTTTGGTCTGTTAAAAGAAGCCAAACATCATGGTCCACCTCAACAACCATCCCTTGCATGTAAATGCCTCTAACTATGCCAGTATATGTACCGAATTTTCTCTTTCCCTTTGTATTTATCTTCGAACATGGCTGCCACTGCTTGGAAAACGGAGCAACATGTAGAACAGACTCATTGGTAGTCACATACATTATATGTGACTCCTCCTTTCCCGTGAAAACCAATTTTCTCTTCAATCCCGAAACTATAATGCGGTCACCAATAAGCTTAATGATTACAGAATGCCAAGATGATGCATTGTCAATAAAATATACAAACACTGATTTGGTAAAAGAATGACTATTTCCATCTGCCATTAAACAACTCAAATCAGTTGACAACTTTTTAGAACTACATAATCTACAGTCGCAACATATTACTTCTGCCAAAAACCCCAGCAAGTTTCGTGATGAAGACGAATTCCAAGCCTCGGCGCTTTTGGAACCACCTGCAAGCATCGTACAAGGGACCTCAGTTAAAGGGCGAACAGAATCAAGCACCCCATAGACGCGATGCCCAGATGAAAAACAAACACTTTGAGCGCTAGAACAACTAGGCACCAAGGGATATGAATCCAAATCGTTTTCCCTCTCCAGCTGCCTTTTCCTCAAGACGTTACTGGAATCCGAAAACTCCCATTTGATAATCTCCAAGAAACCCTTGCCACGTTTACGAGGAATGAAATTCCAAGCATACACACGAATTTCTTTGCCGATAGCATATGCGTTGAATCCGAGAACGTCGCAACAAACAGTACATTTGGCATCGGAAAACTGCAAGCAAGAGCAGCCAGAAGATAAGCCATAATTGTTGCTTGGAATGGTTAGGGTTCCAACGACAACGGTGGGATGTTTCAGAGCAGTGAGAACTCGAGGCACAGTGTTGGGGCTTGAAATGGAAGAAGAACAGGTACTGTGAGCGAACGAACGGCTGGACGACCGTACGTTCAGAGACGCCGTGGAAGTGAGAGGTCGTGCACCTTGTACGAGCTCTGATATCTTAACAATCTTCACATGATCTTTCATTGCTTCGTCCATTTGCGAGGCAAACCGCATCAGCAGATTTTGAAAACTAGTTGGGAGGCAAGTGAAGGACCCTTGCACTTATTTTACAAATCACGGCGGGAAGCCGGGAACCCAACCAGTGAGAGAATGTGAACCGTTAGATTAGTCTGGTGTTTCTCAGAGCTACACGTCTGTAAAAGTTAAAACGCAGCATTTGTACTGTTTGGAATGGCTAGTGTATGAATAGTTTTTTAATTATAATTTATAAAATATAAAATAAATATATAAGAAAATTTTTTTCCCATACATAAAAGTACTTATTAATTAGGAATGCAACAGAACTTGGATTTCAAGCCCACATCACTTCTAAACACTTTTTTTCCCTTTTCCTTTTAACATTTTTTCTGTTTTCTAAATTTTTGTAAAGTACTGTTTGTGAGATATATGAATATCATTCATGTTCATAGGGAAGCAATATGCTGTGAGGACTACATGGCAATGATGGCCCAAGAAGCAAGCAGCACTTTGACAGTGTTACAGGATCCTCTTTAGTTTTGCATAAATCAAATGATCGTTGATATAACTAGATGTTCTTGAAGTTTAGGCTAGCATTGCTTCTTTCTGCTTTTTGTTAGCTAATCTGTCTTGCTTTTCAAGAGTTCGCTCTTGTCTTCCAATTCCAAAATAATAATAATAATAGTAATAGTAATAAACCACGGCATGAATGGGATACCTTTTTTGGAAAAAAATTAATTTTTATTAATTTTATTTTTTCACTTGAGTTCAGTTGTATTTGACACTCCAAATTATTTTTACTAACACTTAATATAAAAAATTAATAAATTTTTAGTGTATCGAGTTCTTTTTAATTAGTACCTCCTCAATAACATATAAGGATATTCAAAGTGTCCTATTTTGATCTCGACTATTTTGAGATGGGACATTCCTGTTCCAAAAACTTTTAGGACAGGACAAAAATTGTTCGGGGACGGGACATAGGATGGGGGCTCCCTTCCCGGTATTTTTTTTAAAGAAATATAAGTTTATTTTATTTTTAAACACTCATAATATTTTACTCCAAAACTCTTGTTTCTTAATTTATTTGTTTTAATTTTTTAATTTAATTTCTCGGATGTTGTATATGGAATGGACTTGGCAACACTCATGCGTATTGTTTTTTAGGCTTGCATTTGCATGCGTCTTATTCTAATGATAATTTGGGATACCATATTTTTTATTTCGTTTAATCACTTTTATTTTATCTGAACATTTAAGTGCTTAATCAGCTAATTATATTCATATAATAGAAAATGGTTTCCTTATATTTGTGTCCTAAACATTTCAACGTGTGTATCACTATATTGTTGTGTTTTTGTTTCAATTTCTATTCAAATACATGAAGTGTTGCTTATAACTTCAAAAATCCATATTTGAAGAATATGTCCCTCCCTCCTTAAGTTTCACACATCTATTATTATTTCTTAATAATTTCATCCTGAGCAAAAATTTTATGCTATGGCTTTCTTTCTTTCTATTGGTGACAATGCAAAATCTTTTTTATTTGGGAAAATTACACATAGATCCTGCAGAAGACAATTTATTCAGAAAAAATTCTTTGAAATCCTGAAATGCTTTCTAAATTCTCAGGGACCTGTGGATAAAAAAATTTTAATTGTGATATTACCTACTTACCCTATTAATTTGAGTCTAAATATCTTCCCCACCTCAAACCCTTGGTCGCTCTGTTTGCCTATCAAGACCATCTTCATCTTCGTGCTGTGTTTCCATTATCTCCCTTTAACTGCCATTTGTTGAAAAACTGCTTCCCTTTAACTATCACTTGCCTATCGGGACCATTTTCATCTTCGCAACTGCCCCAAATCACTCTCAATGTCAAATCTCAACCCAATTCTCATGGCCTTTATCTTATGCGTGGATATGGTCTCTTGGGTGAAGCAAGAAAGAACAATAGCATAAAAGAATAGTAGCGTTTCAAGAAAGACATTATCTTTTGCTTCCTTCAAAATCTCTCAAACTACGCCTTTTCGGTGATTGATGCTCTGTTTTTCATGATTGATACTATGTTCTGATGAAAATGACAGGTTTTTATTGTTATAACTCCTGTAATGTGATGATTAAATGTCTTCTTAATGGATACATTGAAAGTTGTTAATGTAACTATATGACCTATTATTAACAAGTGATTGTGAGGGGTTGATATGAAGGATGACAACTTCAAGTGGGAAGCATTTGTTCTGTTACCTCCATATAGGGTGACAATTTATTAATAGTGCAAAAAGTAAAATACAATATGTTAAAAGTGGTGTGAAAACAAAAATAATAAAAGAAGGCACATCATATGAAGAATTTAGAACAATGGTAGCATCAATTGTGAGAAAAAAAAATAATGAAATGGTTATGAAATTCACAGTAACCTTTGATGAGTATACATTTGGGGACCTTGTAGATAAAATGTAAATTTGGTGTAGTTACGTTGTACATATATATATATATAAAGTGGTAAATGACATTTGGTTGTAATCTGATATAATATCATATTTCTGTTTTGCCGTACTTGTTAATAGGTTGCTGTGGACTTGTTATCAGACGCCGTGAAAGTTGTCATTGGCAGTTTGAATGAAGTTACTGATATAAAGTGACAATGTCTCCTACTTGTAATGATCAATGATTTCTTAACACATCATTCCGTCCTTAATTTTATGAAGTAGGTAAGTGTTTGTTTTGTGAATGCCAATGCAAGTAAAATTTTTAGCTTAATTTGCCTTAATAGAACCCCCTTAATGCCAAAAAAGTTTGGGAGAATCACTAAAATCCCACAAAGGGGGTTAGATACACCAATAAGTCCCATGAAATGATATCTAATTAGAATGTGGACATAAGTTTGGGCATATAATTACCTAATTGCCTTGTTACATTTAGACGAAAAAGAGACGGAATGAGAGAGCATTTTGTGTGCGTCTTCATGTCACCATCTTTCCAGCTGAACTCTTCATCATTTTCGCAAGAATGAGCCGGGTAAAGTCGTTTTCTAATTAGAATGTGAAAATATTTGTACCTTTCTAGCTATGATTGCTGCATGCCCGGTCATCTATGTGAGTTCATCGTTTGTGTATGCGGTAATTCGTAGAAATAAAGATCAGAGCTTTGGCCTTCAGCTTATTCAAACACTTTCCATGGTGAATTCCACAATTTAAAACCTGCTGAGAGACACAATAAAATAAGCCTTCTTTCATCAAATACTCTTCCTGTCCTTAATATAAAATCTAATTAAAGAATTAATATTAATAATTATATGTAAAAACTATTTTATATGTTTATCATTTTTTTCTTTCAAATTAACCCTATTGATATTTTTTTCAATAATAATCGAGTAGGAGAATGAGAGAAGGAATTAAGAAAGATATTTGGAGTATTTGAAGGCAAAAAAAACATTATATTAACTAATTTAACTAATATCTTTAATCCACTCAGATTAGTTAATTAAGTCTTACCTTAAAGACAAGAGGAGCATATACCTTCTCCATTACCATTCCATACCAGATGCTGGAAGAAGGAAATAGGTGTGCTCAAGCCTCACAATGCAACAATTAATATCATATACAACGATAATTAACTTCTCATTCAGAAGATATGTCTAGCAGCAAGACAAATCCATCTGTGCGAGTTACAACACAACTTTTTAAGTTTAAAAACAGTTAGCTAGAATAAGGACACGTACACAAGGACTCGGGTAAGAAAATAAACTATCAATTCAATCAGGATATAAGAAATAGACTTGACGTGTTGGCTCACAAATGAGAGATCAGAAAATCTTAGTAAGATTTTCTGGGATCTTGCTTCTACAGATGCTTGGCCAATATAGATTCAACAACACCCTGAGCAATAGGATGATACAACTCACGAGCCTCTGAGAAGACTCGTTTGGCAAACACTCTATCTTCTTCCTTTCCACCGCCTTGCACAAGTGCAGTGTAAAGAGGACGCAGATAAAGTATCCTTCCAACTTCTTTTAAGGTCTTCTCCACTTTATTATAATAATCTCTGCACCCAGTTGAAAGAGCAAGTTGTAGAAATGCCACTTTCACCTCGTAATCCTTCGATTCTGATAGCCTGTAGCGTGAATCCAGGGCCGTAAGCTGCAAAACGTCAAGTTTTGCAACTGTTATAGTTTGACTTTGTCCCTTGTTTTTATCCACAAGATCATGTTCACTTTAGTTACATAACCTTGAAAGGCAAAGGTTTAGAAAAATATGAGTGCTGACAAGATGCTAACGTTATTGATGACTGGTATCAGTGCTGTATAAGCAAGAAGCTGAGGGTTCAACTCCCATGAAAATTTCCTCTCAATAAATAGGTCTGGTACATAGATACATGGATTCAACAAATCCACATACTACTTTCGATTCTTAACATGAAAACTAGTTGGGTGGATAGATTTGGTTTTAAATATAAGATATCAATCCACTTTAACTCTCATTTTCCCCCAAATATCTCTATTAATTGTAAGTTCTAACGGTTTTTACTAAGGGATAATTCAAATCACCTAAGGCACATGATTAAATAGGATAGTTTAGAAAAATCAACATATACTTACAGCAAATAATAAATTTAACTAATCTTCTTAATATCTCTAAATTAGTTATCTAGTTCTTGTATTAAAGATCAAAAGTAGTACATAATAAAATAGCTACACCATTCATAAGTCATCAACGTGGCTTATTCATTGCATTCTGTGCAAGACACGAAAAAGAAAAAAGTTCAGTTTAATGATCAAATCATCTCTCAAGAGAGCTTGATTTCAAAATTCAATTAATATCCCACCCTTTCTTGACTTATCACTCCCAGGTTCTAGAGCCCTTCTCTGTGCTTGAATTTTTCAGGGGCAAAAAGGACAGAGTAGAATAAGGAAAATTAAGGCCAACTCTTTTACTCCTATTTATAAAGTTCTTTCAACATATTTCACTGGAACTAAAAAATACCTTAAAGCTCATTGACTGTCTTAAAATTTAATA